CCCCCACCACTCCAGCAACCCTCAGTTTGTTTCCTGAGATTAAGAATTCCTCATATCAATGAGGTCATATGATACATGTCTTTCTCTTCAATTCGACTTTCTTAATAACGCTCACAACTACTTTTTCTAATAATTGTTTCATACCAAACTCTTAACTGTGTCATAGCAGTTTAAGTGAAATAACTGCTCTTCCTGTTTCTAGTTTGGCCCATTAAAGATACTCAGACTTTGTTTTAAACAGAAAGAATATTTGCCTTTTCCCAAACTCAATATGTTATCATGACTATTGCTGTCCCTGGATTCTGTTACTTTTGAGGAAAGAATATATATATTAGTGCTTCCAGCTTCCCTTTCATGTCCGCCACCCACTTGCCCAGTTGCCTCCTCCCTTAGGGTACCAACTCAGTGATTAGTAACAGAAATACCTTTCTGATATTTTTGGTAATGTTAAAGCCATCAATCAACACAGCTCCAGATGTTGTGGTCTCCTCTCCAGTCAATATTTTGAATGTAGTGGTTTTCCCAGCTCCATTTAATCCAAGTAATCCAAAGCACTCAGATTTCTGGACTACAAGGGAGATATTTCTTACAGCCTTTACAACTGGACACTTATAATAAACCTGAGAAAATTAAAAAAAAAAACCACAGTGTACTGGAGCACTGATTATGGGCCAACTACAACCATAACCTGAAACCCCTGTAGACTGGTACCTGTGACAGTTTCACCCTTCCACTCTCAGCCTTCTATTTTACCAGATATACACAGGTCCCATAGAACTCCAATAGATTAGTTGTACTACCAATAAATTCTTGCCAGGAATTGTGGGCTACAGTTCAGGGCAATGTTGATTATTGAATGATGTTACCTTTGTAAGTTGTTTCAGAATGAGTGGGGTATTCCTTAACTTGGGAGGCAGTGTCAGGGCTCTATTTTCTTCATTTTTTATATCTTCATCCTCATAGTCCTTGATTGTTTGACAGGACACTGTAGACTATATTTTTAAGACAAGAATCACAGATAAGAATATACTTTAGATATCTGGTTTAAACTGAGTGACCTTCTGAACGCTGACCCAAGGAAGTAATATCAAAGATGTCAGAAAATGTTTGCATGATTTCCAAGAGCCTTCCTACCAATTTCCTGAGCTCTCATGCACAAGTTTATTCTTGACTTGCTTAGATTTGGAAATCATAGTCAAGAGCAAGTTTTTTCACAGCTGTGAGTAAGCAGTATGTTCTTGCCAATAACATGAGCACTTCATGGAAAACAAAAGCCACACTGGTACTATTAATTGTTTTCTAGTGTGATCTGTTACAAATAAAATATGTTGAAGACACCATGAGATCCAAGTTAAAAAAAAAAAGAATGAATTCTTTCTTTTTTGAAGGAAATACCCTTGATAGGCAAAGTCAGAGCTTGAAGAATAAATAAGGATTTATTGAAAGAGTGAAGGTAGGGTGGGGAAGGAAGAAAGCTGCCATCAGCAGGGGGAGCTGATTGAGAGATAAGTAGGAATGAACCAACAGGACATGTTTTGTGAATAGTAATTTGTAGTGTTTGAGCACAACTTTGTTATTTTGAATTGTCTATTTTTGCAACAAGTACTCATTTAACAGTACTTCATTAAGGAGGAATGGAGCAGGAGAATATATTTAGCTCAGTAAACATGCTAGTCAGAAGAGTGAGAAGAGAGCTGCTTTAAGTGTTTTTTTCTTTTTCAGTCTAAATAAATTGGATGTATAGTAAAAGTGAACATCCTTGCACTGCTTTCGATCTTAGGGGGAATACATTCACTCTTTCATCATTATGTTTGTTGTAGACTATATAAGTGGATGCCACTTATCAGGTTGAAATGTTTCCTTTATTTTCTTGGTTAGCAGTTTCTTGAAAAATCACAAATGGATGTTGAATGTTATCAGGTGCTTTTTCTGCAATAATTGGTATGAACATGTGGTTTTTCTTCTTGAGATTATTACACTTGATCTTAGCCAAAAGGCTGAGAAGCGATGATTAACATTGTGGGTAATATTAATTTTCAAATATTAAACTAGCTTTACACTCATAGAATAAACCCCACTTGTTCATGGTGTATTATTCCTCCCATATATTCTTGGGTTCTATTATGAATATTTTGTTGAGAATTTGTGTGTCTGTGCTCTTGAGGGATATTGGTTTCTTATAATTTCTCCATTTTTGTATTAGGGTCATGATGGTTTCACAAAATGAATTGGAAAATGTTCTCACTTCTACTTTCTGGGAGAAATAATGCAGAATTGATGCTATTTCTTCTTTAATTTTTTGGTAGAATTCATAAGTGAAATTATACAGGCTTAGCGTTTTCTTTTTTGGAGGTTTTATACTATGCATATGATGTCTTTAATTGAAATAAAACTATTTAGTTTATTCTTGAGTGAGTTTTGATAGTTTGTGTCTTTCTAGGAATTGTTCTATTTCATCTAAGGTTACAAATTTATGAGATAGATTGGATTTTAATTTCTGTGGTATCCATAGTGATAACCCTTCATTTGTCCTCATTTTGGTAATATGTTTCTATTTCATGATTACTCTGGCTATCAGCTTATCAATTATAATCTTTTTTTTTAAATTAGTTTTTGGTTGCATTCATTTTTCTCAACTGCTTTTCTGTTTTCAGTTTTATTTCTTTTATTTTTATTTACTTCTGCCTGCTCTGAGTGTATTTTGCTTCTTTTCCTTACTGAGGTGGAAGTTTCAATCATTAACCTGGGAATATTTCTTTCTTTTTTTTTTTTTAGTTTCAGAGGTAGAATTTAGTGATTCATCAGTTGCATATAACACCTGGTGCTCATTACATCTAGTGCCCTCCTTAATGCCCATCACCCAATTATCCCTTCCCCCCAACCACCTCCCCTCCAGCAATCCTCAGTTTATTTCCTAGAGTTCAGCATCTCTTATGGTTTGCCTCCCTCTCAGAATGGCTAAAATTAACAACTCAGGAAACAACAGATGTTGAGGGGAATGCAAACTGTTGCAGCCAGTCTGGAAGACAGTATGGAGGTTCCTCAAAACTTAAAAATAGAGCTATCCTATGACCCAGCAATTGCACTACTAGGTATTTATCCAAAGGATACAAACAGTGATTTGAAGGGGCACCTGCACTCCAATGTTTATAGCGGCAATGTCCACAATAGCCAAAATATGGAAGGAGCCCATATGTCCATCAACAGATGAATGGATAAAGATGTGGTATATATATACAATGAAATATCACTCAGCCATCAAAAAGAACGAAATCTTGCCATTTGCAATGATGTAGATGGAACTAGAGGGTATTATGCTAAGTGAAATAAGTCAGTCAGGAAGACAAATACCATATGATTTCATTTGTATGTGGAATTTAAGAAACAAAACAGATGAACATAGAGGAAGGGAAGGAAAAATAAAATAAGATAGGGCCTTTTTTCATTAATAATATAAGCATTTAATACTTTAAATTTCCATTAAAACACAGCTTTAGTCACATCCCACAAATTTTGATATGTTGTGTTTTCATTTTCATTCAATTCAAAATATTTCTTAATTTCCTCTGCAATTTCCTCTTTGATGAATGGGTTCCAGAGATGTGTGTTGCTTAATTTCCCAATGTCTACAGAGGTTTTCCCATTATATTTCTGTTATTCATTCATAGTCGAATTTCATGATGATCAGAAAACTGCATTATTTCAATTCTTTTAAAATTGTGAATGGTGTATTTTGGGTGACGGTTCCATGTGCACTATTATTATGGGGTGTGTTCTATAAATGTCAACTAGATCTAGTTGGTAGGTAGTGTCTTACAGTTCTTCACTGATTTTCTGTCTTTGTGTTCTACTGATTAGTGAGGGAGTATTTGGTAGATTATGAAAGCTGTGAATGAGCACATGCTGTTTTGCAGGGGAGACCTCCATATTTTCTTCACCTGAGAAGGGAGTGTGGATTCTTAACAGAGAGGAGTGTGCCACTTCTTCAGACTCTGAGGGTTCAGGGGAATCTGGGAATTTAAGATTTTTGGGTCATTAACTCAGATGTCCCTATTCCATGTATTGGAGTCCCATTATTTTCTAATAAGAGCTGTGATCTTGGAATAGCAGATCTGCCTTGGTTGAGAATTTGACCTTCCTGGAGCTCATAAAATCTGAAAATTAGACCTTGCTCCCAGTACTCACTTTTCTCAGCCCTTCCACTGAAGGAAACAAGAGCTCCATTATATGCGACCAAGGAAGCCCTTTCACTTTCACACTTGGCTTTCAGTCTCCTACTAATAACTCTTGGCCTTTTATTTTATAAAGCAATGAGCTTAGCAATAGTCTCACAATTCCATTGTTCTAACGGGTGCTATTTTCCCCATATTTCTTGATTCTTTGATATACCCATCAATCAGTGCATTCTCTTGATATATCATCCCAATTCAGCACTGGTGAAAATTTTAGCAACTAGACTACTACTTTGTGTCAGAGGAAATATGTGTTTCCTTTGCTACAGGTAACATGGGCCTCATTGACAGCTGAGTGGGGAATGATCTAGTCCTAAAGCCCCATCTTATTATATACTTTCTTAGAACTCCCCTGGAACTAACTTGCACGTAGAGTTCCCTTGGGACCAAAACCTGTGTAAAGGAGAGGAAGGAATCAGGAGTAGGCAGAAGAAGTCAAGCTGTGATGAAGGTCAGATGATATCCTCAGTTGACCCCATGGGAAGCCTTGAAGCTGTTTGAGAGGCATTGAGAACACCAAACATTTTACTCTTGTATCTGTAAGTGATTGGATGCTGGCCATCTGGTAAGAAGTGTCACCTTGGGAGACAAGAATTTTTGTAGATGAAGCAGTCCATAAAGATAATGACCACTGAAGGTTGTCTAAAGATAGTACTCCCAAAAGCTAGAGGCAACAACTTCATTGCAGGGGTATCTGGGCTAAGAACCGTATGATCATTTCACTAGATTTAGAAAAAGCACTGACAAAGTACAACATTCATTCATGATAAAAACTCTCAACAAAGTAGAATTATAGGGAACATACCTCAACATAATAAAGGCCATCTATGCAAAACCCACAGCTAATATCATCCTCAGTGGGGGTAAAACTGAGAGATTTTCCTCTATGGTCAGGAACAAGACAGGGATGTCCACTCTCATCACTGTTATTTAACATAATACTGGAAGTCCTAGCCATGGCAATCAGACAACAACAACAACAACAACAACAACAACAAAAATAAAAGGTATCCAAATCAGCAAGGAAGAAGTCAAACTTCATTTCAGACAACATGATCCGTAGAAAACAATGTAGAAAGACTCCACCAAAAAAAAAAATTATTAGAATTGATACATGAAGTTAGTAAAGTTGCAGGATACAAAGTCAACATACAGAAATCTGTTATATTTTTATACACTAATAATGAAGCAGTGGAAAGAGAAATTAAGGAATCAATCTCATTTACAATTGCACAAAAAACCCAAGATACTTAGGAATAAACCTAACCAAAGAAGTAAAAGATCTGTACTCTGAAAACTATAAAACACTGATGAAAGAAATTGAAGATGACATAAAGAAATGGAAAGACATTCCATGCTCATGGATTAGAAGAACAAATATTGTTAAAATGTCCATTATTACCCAAAGCAATCTACACATTCAGTGTAATCCTTATCTAAATGTTAACAGCATTTTTCGCAGAGCTAAAATTTGTATGGAACCACAAAAGACCCTGAATAGCCAAAGCAGCCTTGAAAAAGCAAAGCAAAGCTGGAGGCATCATAATTCCATACTTCAAGTTATATTACAAAGCTGTAGTGATCCAAACAGTATGGTACTAGCACAAAAATAGATACATAGATCAATGGAACAGAATAGAAAATCCAGAAATGAGCCCACAACTATACGGTCAGTTAATGTTTGACAAAGCAGGAAAGAATATCCAATAGGAAAAAGACAGTCTCTTCAACAAATGGTGTTGGGAAAACTGGACAGCAACATGCAAAAGAATGAAACTGGACCATTTTCTTACACCACACACAAAAATAAATTCAAAATGGATCAAAAACCTAAATGTGAGACAGGAAACCGTAAAAATCCTAGGGGAGAATGCAGGCAGTAACTTCTTTGACATTGGCTATAGCAACTTCCTTCTAGATATGTCTCCTGAGGCAAGGAAAATAAAAGCAAAAACAAACTATTAGGATTTCATCAAAATAAAAAGTTTCTGCACAGTGAAGGAAACAACAAAACTAAAAGGCAACCTATGGAGTGGGAGAAGATATGAAATGAAATGAAAATGACATTTTTTTTTAAGAGAGAGTGTATGTGAGGAGGGGAGGGGCAGAGAGAGAGAGAATCTTTTAAGTTTTATTTACTTATTTTAGAGAGAGAGAGTGTGAGCAGGCGGAGGAATAAAGGGAGAGGGAGAGGGAGGGGGAAGGAATCCCAAGCTGACTCCACACTGAGTGTGAGCCCAATGCAGGGCTTGATTCCCATGACCTGAGATCATGACCCAAGCCAAAACCAAGAGTCAGACATTCAACCAACTGAGCCATCCAAGTACCCCTGGAGAGAGAGAATCTTAAGCAGTCTCCACGCTGTGCATGGAGCCTGACACAGGGCTTGATCTCAGACCTTGAGCCCAAATTAAGAGTTGGATGCTTGACTGACTGAGCCACCCAGGTGCCCCAGAAATGATATATCTGATAAGGGGTTAGTATCCCAAATATATAAGGAACTTAGAAAACAACACCCCAAAAATGAATGATCCAATTAAAAAAATAGACAGAAAACATGACTAGACATTTTTCCAAAGAAGACATCTGGATGGCCAACAGACACATGAAAGGATGCTCAACATCACTGATTATCAGGGAAACACAAATCAAAACTACAATGAGATGTTATCAGACCTGTCAGAATGGCTAAAATCAACAACACAAGAAACAACAGGTGTTGGCGAGGATGTGGAGAAAGGGGAACCCTCTTGCACTGTTGGTGGGAATGCAAACTGGTGCAGCCACTTTGGAAAACAGTATCTTTTAATTCTCATAGATAATTGTGACTTTTTCTCATCCTAATCAAAATTCCAGGTAGTGGAAGAGGCCATATGGTCTCAAAATATCCTTCCTTGTGAAATAGTAAAGATATGCAGGCTCAGAGATATTTATGGCCAAGATCTAGAGCCACTCCAGAATAGAACCCAGGGACAGAATTGGGATGAATGAAATTACAAAGAGAAAGATATAGTGGTTTCCTGCCTCAAGAAGTTCAAGTACAGACTGGAAGGGAATTCAGTAACTGAATGGATGTACCATTAAAATAATTTTTAAAATCCTAAGCAAAACTCCGAGATTATGTGAAATCATGAGAGTTAAGTAAAGCAATAATTAATAATCTGACTGGTAGAAGCCATGAAGCCCTACAATACTACATTGTTTTTTGTTTGTTTTCTTTTTAAAGATTTATTTATTTGAGGGAGAGAGAGAGCAAGTGGGGGAAGGGGCAGAGGGAGAGGAGAGAGAGAGAGAATCTCAAGCAGACTCCTTGCTGAGTGTGGAGCCTGACATGGAGCTCGATCCCACAACCATGAGACTGTGACCTGAGCTGAAATCAAGCCAGACACTTAACCAGCTAAGCCACCCAGGCACTCCACCTCATAGTTTTTATTTTTATTTATGTATTTTTATTTTTCATTATGTTCAGTTAGCCATCATATAGTATATTGTAAGTTTTTGTTGTAGTGTTCAACGATTCATTAGTTGCATATAACAACCAGTGCTCATCTCAACACATGCCCTCCTTAATACCCATCACTACAGAGTTTTTATTTATTTATTTTTTAATTAATTAATTTTTTTAAAGATTTTATTTATTTATTTGAGAGAGAGAGAATGAGAGAGAGCAAGCACATGAGAGGGGGGAGGGT